TCAGACGTTTTGGAGCCGGACACAGGGGGTGGGGGGGAAGGGGAGGCGCAGGAAGAGCCACGGGGGAAGGACCAGGGGGCGCGGCAGGAGCCAAAGCCGAAGCGACTAACACCCCCAGGTGAGGGTCCCTAAAACCAAAACAGGGCAGCCTCGGGGCATCTGGATGGGAAACCAACCTAGCGTGTTGTAATAACCTAAACCTAACATGCAACGCTAATGCTGCCTGTACCCTAACAGGAACATCCTCAGAGTAAAACTGGAGCATAAGCAGAGAACATGACTCGCAAGACTCCGGGTTGACCCAACAGGCAGCATGACGGAGGCAAAAACAGGTGACTGTCACCCTGAGACAAGGGCACACTGCAACCTTCAAACCCACACAAGGCAGGCTGGAACTTGGGAGACGCATTCATGGGTCCACCGAGCCCCGACAGGGGTTTCCAGGGCTCATAGGAAAACAACTACGGGAAGCCTGGGCAAGGTGTTGCTAACCGGGTAAGAAACCCAAACAACAAGTGTAGATGATAACACTGAAAAACCCCTGGGACGTGTACAAGCATGGGGGCCTAGCAGAGGGCCACCAAAACAATATCAAGGGAACTATAGACCCACGAGGCAGAATCTCCACCAGGCAAACAAAAAACAAAAACAAAAGAAAAACCCCGCAAAAGTACATTGTCCCCAGAGGCAACAGGAACAGGTCGCTGCTTAGGTGGCAGGCCGCGCAACACCTTGACGCCCTAACCAGCACACCACCACTCCCTACCCAAGGCCAAACAAGGGCCCCAAGCCCCAGCTGGCCCCAAGGGCAAGGCAAATGCCGAGCAGCAAGAACCCCTACCGGAGCGGTTCCCGAACGCCCCAGTGAAGATAACCCTGACACGCAGGGGCAGTACTCACAGGGCACTTAGGGAAGGAAACCCCTAAGCGCATGCAGCCCTGGCACTGATGAGGTACTCCTGGCCACTGCACACCATACAAAGAGAGCAGAGAACGCCACACGAGGCAAACACCGCCCAGGAATTTGAGGCCAGAGAAGCGTCTATCCCGGTTGACACTAGCTTACGAACTGAAGGCAGCCGGTGCGGTGAGGTCCGGTCACCCCCCTCCCGGGGAGGGGAGGGCTGCGCGGACGACAGGCGCGGCAGTAAATTGATCGTTTGATTGTTTCCTTGGGATTGTAGGGAGTTTCCACCTCTGTTCGTTTTCTTGTTGTAGTTTTTTACCATGTGGGGTTTGTTTTGTTATGCCTACCTTTCTGGGTGCCTAACCCCGGTCGATAGCAGATAAGGAAAACCCCCAACCACAAGGGGGTTTTCCAGGGCCATTGCTCCCTGAAACCTCTCTGAAGGGGCCAGGTTCTGGTGCTGGCCCCTGGTAGGTCTGAACTAAATAGCTAATGTCCCGGTCTAACATAGCATACATTAGCCCGATAAGCTCCAGGGAGCCGTAGGGGCTACCGACAGAAAAGGGACTTACCCGGGAAGCGGTCATCTCTCGCTCCTCAACTCGAAGTAGACTATTGGCTGTAACCACCGTCCATGTGCGACACAGGCCTGATTGTGTAACATTAACAAGGTAGCGAGCAGCCAGGACCCTGTTCGACCTCCAAAAACCCCGTGCCCAAATGTCAGCCCAAGACATATTACTGAAGACAGCAGCCAACACAGCCAACTTATGAATGTCGTGGGCATGAGGATAAACCGCAGGCTGACTGAACCGAATAACCCTATGGACGACCTGAGAGACTCGAGCCCTGGAACAGAGAAGAAGGGAAACCGGGTCAACCCAAAGCGTGTCCCCGGCCACCGAAGCCGTGGCACGCAGATAATGGCGGAGAAAAGCAACGGGACAACACATGAGGCACCCCTGGCCTAACCAACCAAGCATCAACAACCCAAGGACCTCTTTAGAAAGCAGCAAACTCATTCTTCACCAGAAAGAAGGAGACGGCTGCAAACAAACAAATCGATTACCAGTACCAAAAAAAGCAAAAACCCTTGCGCCGGAGGAGAGCATGAAGCTTCCCAACCCAACCCCCCAGAGGCCAATGCCAACAGGAAAAGGAGCCTTAGTAAAGCAATCCTGACCAAAAGGGCTATTACAAACCCAGGAGAAGAGAGAAAGGAGAGCACCTGGTCAAACGTCCAGGACAGTTCAGGCGGCGCATGAGCAGGCTGGAGGTGAAACAATGCACGAGATAACTTGCGAAATGGAGCAGAAGTAACATCATTACTGAATGCAAGCTGCGGTGGCTCCACCAGCACCGCACGATGCGAGGCGACAGTATTCGGCATAAGATGACTGTCCTGGAACAACCATGAAAGGAAGGACAAAACAACCCTATCAGACATAGTTCCAATCTACAAAAGTGGAAGCAGGGATAACCCCCCTTAATTATAGACCTGTATCATTGACAAGTGTAATAGTCAAAATATTGGAAAAAATAATTAAAACTAAATGGGTAGAACACCTGGAGAGAAATGATATATCAGACAGACAATATGGTTTTCGATCTGGAAGATCCTGTGTATCGAATTTACTCAGTTTCTATGATTGCGCAACAGAGATATTACAGGAAAGAGATGGTTGGGTTGACTGCATCTATCTGGACCTAAAAAAGGCTTTCGACAGAGTTCCACATAAGAGGTTGTTCTGGAAACTGGAACATATTGGAGGGGTGACAGGTAAGCTTCTAACATGGATGAAAAATTTTCTGACTGATAGAAAAATGAGGGCAGTGATCAAAAGCAATGTATTGGACTGGAGAAATGTCACAAGTGGATTACCACAGGGTTCAGTTCTTGCACCAGTGATGTTTATTGTCTTCATAAATGATCTACCAGTTGGTATACAGAATTATATGAACATGTTTGCTGATGATGCAAAGATAATAGGAAGGATAAGAAACGTAGATGATTGTCATGCCCTTCAAGATGACCTGGACAAAATAAGTATATGGAGCGCCACTTGGCAAATGGAATTTAATGTTAATAAATGCCATGTTAAGGAATGTGGAATAGGAGAACATAGACCCCACACAACCTATATATTATGTGAGAAACCTTTAAAGAATTCTGATAAAGAAAGAGATCTAGGGGTGGTTCTAGAAAGAAAACTATCACCTGAGGACCACATAAAGAATATTGTGCGAGGAGCCTATGCCACGCTTTCTAATTTCAGAATTGCTTTTAAATACATGGATAGCGATATACTAAAGAAATTGTTCACGACTTTTGTTAGGCCAAAGCTAGAATATGCAGCGGTTGTGTGGTGCCCATATCTTAAGAAGCACATCAACAAACTGGAAAGGTGCAAAGACACGCTACTAAGTGGCTCCCAGAACTGAAGGGCAAGAGCCACGAGGAGAGGTTAGAGGCATTAAATATGCCAAAACTAGAAGACAGAAGATAGAAGAAGAGAGAGGTGAGGTGACAGAAGAAAAAGAGGTGATATGATCACTACATACAAAACAGTAACAGGAATTGATAAAATTGATAGGGAAGATTGCCTGAGACCTGGAACTTTAAGAACAAGAGGTCATAGATTTAAACTAGCTAAACACAGATGCTGAAGAAATACAAAAGAAAATTCACTTTCGCAAACAGTGGTAGACGGTTGGAACAAGTTAGGTGAGAAGGTGGTGGAGGCCAAGACCGTCAGTAGTTTCAAAGCGTTATATGACAAAGAGTGCTGGGAAGACCACGAGCATAGCTCTCATCCTGTAACTACACTTAGGTAATTACTAAGAAAAAATCAGAGACATTGAAATAATTAGGTAATAATATATTTGTGGCAACTGCCGTCTGACAGCTCGGGCGGAGTAGACCTCGTCTGGCGAAGGCTCTACCAATGCCCCTTTTTTGCCACACTTCCCTACCCTATTGCGGCTAAAATATGCCACCTACAATTTTTTTGTTATTTTTTCCGTGATCAGGGAACAAAAATGAACACTTCTATAAGATGAAAGAATTTTTTGGATTTTTTTTTTGTTGCGCCTGTGGGTGTGAATTCCATTTGAGCCCCTAGCAGTTTGAGGGTTAAAAGAGATGCTAATGACCCAGGATATGGTGTGATGAGTGAAGAAGAGATTCTCCAGTCTATTACTGGCGAGGTCGACGAAGAGGAGGAGGATGAAGAAGGCAGTGAAGAACCAACACCATAGACAACAAAATACAGTTTACTCATGTCTTTTGTTGACCTGTTAATTTTTCATCCAATTGTGCTCACCCAGAAGTTGGAAACATGTATCAGTACCCGAGGCAAACCAAAGAGCTGATCATACAACAGGCCAATGAATACAGAAGGCAAGCTAAACTTGATTCTTATATAATAAGAAAAGCAATCAAAGGCCCTTCAACCAGTGAGGCATCACAAGCAAGCCATGCACCTTCGACCAGTGAGGCGCCACAGGCAAGCCAAGCGCCTTCAACCAGTGAGGCGCCACAGGCAAGCCAAGCTCCTTCAACCAGTGGGGTATCACAGGCAAGCCAAGGGCCTTCAACCAGTGAGGCGTCACAGGCAAGCCAAGCACCTTCAACCAGTGAGGCTTCAGCAGCTGGCAGTCAAAACTAACTTTGCCTCATGAACAGTACAGTAATTTTAAGTGTTAATTTTAGTGTTGTGTTAGAATAGGTTACGTAAATTGTCAAGAATTCTTAACTTCAAGATGTGTGGCATCAATCAAGAAGACGAACAACAATAAGGTAAGTTGAGGTTGCTAGTTGAATATTTTATAATTATATGTGGCAAGGCAATTCAAATTATGCAGTTTGTGGTATAAAAATAGTTGGAAATGGTCACTTTTGGACTTCCGCGGTGAAAAAGTATATTAATCCTGAAAATGTGATAATCCGGCTGGGGATCTTTCCCATATAGTCCGGATTAGCGGGTTTATACAGTACAGTAGTGTACTTACCTAACTTAGGACTAGACATAATTCTCCAAGTAAATAACTACATTTGTCTAATGTCTCAACCAAAAGTTATTAACAGTCTTACTTGTTCTGTAGCATCATGAACTTGTGGTTTACGGTAAATGTGCCACTATCTACAGATGGATGGCACGATATTATGCCCACTATGAAGTGACCACCTGTGTGCATCATAACTGCTGAAAGTTGCTGATGCACCATTATTTCTCTCAGGTATAAATCTTCACAATTGGATCCACGGCACCGGTACCATCCTATTACTTGCTGGAATATAAACACAGAAACCTTGATAACACTACAGTTTGCACACATTTTTAAGCATCTGGACAGAGGAAAGTTTATTATTGAAGTCAATTATTATTAGTACCTACCAAGATGCAGCTAAATTTACTGCACAATTTGAGCATTTAGTATAATGAAATGACCCTTTCTGGATTATCCTCAGAAATTCTCCTAGCTTCTGTGTCAGTCATATTCATAGTCATTCAGTCAGTCATCAGTCATACAGTCAACCAGCTGCCAATTCCAAGAATCTATGGCCCAGACCTTGCTTAACACAAGAAAACATCCCTCGCAATACAGAACCCCCGTCACCATAACTTACCATGATAAGGCAACTAAGGTAATTAATTACCAGTAGAAACTGCTAAGCTATTATAACTAGCACTGGAAGGGATATGAGGATAAGGATTTGGGATAGGATGGAGGAAAGGAATGGTGCCCAGTCACTTGGATGGTCGGAGATTGAATGCAGACTTGCTAGAAACGAGACTGTCACTACTTTCCAGTCCAAGTGGCTAAGTTAGCCACGAACGAGCAAGTGCAGGACTTTCAAGAACAATTTTTCTGTGTACTAATAGGTAAAAACCTCTCACTTATCTGTAGCAACAGATGTGGGAGGGCTTCAGCAACAGTTTGATATGCTACAATGTAACACTATAAATAATTTTTAAGTTATATATTAGATTACAGAACGAATCTAGCATGAAGGAATTGTTAGTGCCAGACATCCTGATTGTTAGGCAATGTAAACTTGCACCTTCAATTTGCTAAAAGTGCACTTTGGCCCAAGAGGTCAGGTCAGGTGGACCACATGTTAATGACCAGCTAGACACCTGTTGGAAATTTCCAACACTGATACATCCCTATTGTATCACAATACACTACTGTTGTATATTAATTACAGTATCAATTAACCTTACTAACTGTAATACTAACATAAATTAATATTTCTTTATCTGCGCGTTAATTGCTGAAATTCTCACGACATCGAGAGGCAGGATTGCATCAGATATTGTCTATCTAGACATATTTATTACCAATATGTTAGAGAATTGAATATGGTTCTCTACTTTTATCAGTATTCTGTATAATAATTAATTACTGATAATATAACTCCTAATGATCCAACAACCGAGCGTTATTAACTAAGATTATCACTAAATAACAGTTTTATCTGTTATATATGAACGCCATGGAAATACTTCCCATTTCTCGTTAATAAGGAAACGGTGCTTAATCAACACCATCTAGCGAGAATATAACCAATATTTAATTCCCTACATTTGCAACCCTATTCCTTTAACGCATTTGCGTCAGTAATTACACGGAAAAGAATTCTCCGTGATTACTAAATTCTATTGCGAATGCGAGCGAGGGGGTTGAGGGAGATGCTGGCGGCAAGCCGCCATTCCTCATGTGTCCGACTGGCGATTAGGAAGGGAAGTCGCGTGGGTGGTGGTGTGACTGAAGAGTTTTCCAACATTAATTACGTTGCAGCTCCACTGATAGTCACCAATTACCTCCTCACGTGTTCTACAGTGTCCTACCAGTTAATAACGCGTCAACAATTGAAGTCACGGCCCGTAATTATGTGTACACAGCAGTGGACGCCAGGGACTGGCAGACGCGATTTCGGCAGACTTTAGTGTTCTGGCACGCTCACGTTAAGTATACTATTCTAGTTTGATGCATCATTCAAGATCGTGTATTTGTGGGTAGTCTGTCGTTATATAGCAAGAACAACAACAACACAACGTTAGTTGATTTTCTTCATTTATTGCAATTTCAATGAATATTGAAATAATTCATAGCCTAATAAAATGCTACTTAATTTTCCCTGATTGCAGCATGTAGACGAGGAATCAACAAGTTGTCTCTCTTCACTCACAATATTCTCCACTGGTTCCTTCTTTATTGGGATCTTGTGATCACGAGGAAGAATAATGAAACGTAATTACAGAAGTCGTCTTACAGCTAAGACACCCGTTTTCGTATAAATTTAGATAAAATTATTAGTAGTTTCTATATAAATTCATATATAGAATATTTACAGTGAATAATTTAATGCCAGAATTTATGGCTTGGTGTTTAATGTGTTTTGCTCTTATTGTTGCTCAACATTTCATAATCTTTCAATATATTCATTAATTTGAAATGTCATATTTTTTAATCTATAGTTAGTTCAAATTTGCCATGTTACTAACTCCTTAATGAACTAGTGACGAACTATACTGGTTCCTCGATATATATGAACTTCTAGAAATAACCCCTCAATGTTGATATTTGAGGCTTTGACTTTAATTAATTAATAATACAGTCTATTCATTATCTTCAAGTGATTGTTAAGTTAATTATTGTACATAGGCACTGGTTCTATAGTGTCAATCTAATAATCACCTTTATTCGTTTTCCCTCTTTTTCTCAAAAGTGGGTGGTCCTTCGATTTATGTTAATCATAATAATCAAATAATTTAATATATGAGTTAAAGCCCCAGATACCCAACATCATTCATTATGAGGATTCAACATTAGAGACCCAGGAGCCAGGCCCTGAGTTGCATCAGGAAAGACCACTCCTCCACCCCCCCCTTTCCTACAGTTGACTCATTATCCTAGACCTTTGGTAAGTTGAATACGATGTGATGCTACTGTGGTTCCTATTTAAATATGTTTGTGTATACATCAGGGGCAGTTGGTCATGAAGTTTCACTCATGATAGTAAATATGAGTGAAATCATCATCATTGATTCACTCATGATTAAAAACTTTGATTTATATTGATAAATAAATGTAAACTATTAATAATCTTATACAATTGCCCTTAAATGAAAGTAGTTGATCTGTGCCTTGGTTGAAACGAAGTAATTACTGTATGTCCAAGAGTGAAGGACACTCGCTGAATATTACTCATTGGCCAAAGAAGGCTGACACTGAGTTTTACTTACTGAATTACATTCTTGAAGTTGCTGGATGTTATCATTATGAGATATAACAAGGTTGAAAACATTTTATTTTTGTCCACATAGATAGGTAATGTCTAAATGGAAGGTGGCAGTACATCATTTTTTTAACCTCTTGCCTCTTTTACTTTTAAATAATCGCCAAAAATCAGGTTTTTATCCGATTTTTTTGGGACTGGTTTTAAAATGCGCGCCGATGTCTTCCCTTTTTCTTTGTTGCGCCTCGTGGCCCGCAGGCGGCTCGGCACACGCCGTCGGCCCATTGTTTTCGCTCCACTGTTGTGACCAATGTCGCCTCCCCTCGCATCTCAAACGTGTGAACATTTCGGCTATTTTCCGTGGCTATATTTCTTACTGCGGCTTTAGAAACTATCTACGCTTACTCCACGATGGATAGTGATCATGAACAAGGCCCTTCCAGGAAGAAAATTGCGAAAGAAAGGCTTGAAAAGGGCGGGAATTGGGAGTGTAGCTGGAAGGCGTCTGAGCGCTCACTCGCAGCTAACGCGTGGCCTGTCTTCAACTCGTCGGCGATTGGAGCGTGACCAGTAACCAGTGACCAGTTGGAGCGTGACTTTAGCACAGTGTAAGGATATAAAGAAAAAAACCAGCGTTGAATGTAATGAAACGCCATTTTCTGGGTGAGCCCCGGAGGCTCCCTGGAGCTTATCGGGCTAATGTGTGTTATGTTAGACCGGGACATTAGCTAAGGAGTTCAGACCTACCAGGGACCAGCGCCAGAACCTGGCCCCTTCAGAGAGGTTTCAGGGAGCAATGGCCCTGGAAAACCCCATATGGTTGGGGGTTTTCCTTATCTGCCATCGACCGGGGTTAGGCACCCAGAAAGGTAGGCGTAACAAAACAAACCCCACATGGTAAGAAACTACAACAAAAACCGAACAGAGAGGTAGAAAACTCCCTACAATCCCAAGGAAACAAGCAAACAAGCAAACATCACACTTTACTGCCGCGCCGATCGTCCGCGCAGCCCTCCCCACCCCGGGAGGGGGAGGGGGGAGCCCCGGACCTACCGCGCCGGCTGCCAAGCTCCAGTTCGGTAGCTAAGCTTCAACCAACGCGAAAAAAAAACCGCCGACCGGTGGGAGGGAGGGTTTCCAGGGAGCCTCCGGGGCTCACCCAGAAAATGGCGTTTCATTACATTCAACGCTGGTTTTCTGTGGGGAGCCCCTACGGCTCCCTGGAGCTTCATACCCAAAGAGAAGGAAAAGAAAGGGCTAACCCGGGAGGCGGCCGCCACAAACTCTGCAACGCAAAGCCAAGACAACCGGTTGCAAACCTGCGACCCAAGGCAACAAGAACGCCCAAGAACAGACGCACACATGGATGGGCGGCCAAAAACCTGTGCGACCCACAATTCCCTGCGCCCGAAATGAGCCCGAGACGTCACCAACACAGCAGCAATTGCTGTAAACGTCTGAACAGCACGGGCGCAAAGACAGACCGCAGTAAGAAGGAAAACACTGCGGACGACCCGGGAGACCCGAGCCCTGAAAACAGGGAACGAAAGAACCGGATCAACCACAGCGCATCCCCAGGCACGGTACGCCGGCAACAGCAAAAAGCACAACTGGACAACACAGGACGCACCCCCCGGCCAAACCAAACAAGTACCAATACCCCAAGAACCCCTCCGGAAAGCAGCCGTCTCGACCGTCGCCAGGACAGAGAAAGGCTGCACACCAATAAAGCTACCACCAGTACCAAAAAGGAGGAAACTGAAACCGAAGGGGCTACCACAAACTGAGGGGAAGAGAAGAAGGCACCCTGAACAAGGACCAGGATGGCTCAGGCGACTCATGAGCAGGCCGGAGGGGAAACAAAACGCGAGAAGACGTAATAAACGTCACACAGTCTCCAAGACGAAGCTCGCAGGTGGGACACCGTCAACAAAACCACCTGAACACCATAGAGATGGCGATACCTGCGTCAAAATACCAGACGCGAAGAGCCAAAGAGAAGGCCGAACCAGTCACGGACAGGACCGATTCGGCCTGCTGAAAG